TCACCATGCCAGTTGGAGGCAACAAAGAGGGGGGAAGGAATGAGGAGAGAAATGCAAAGGAAAAGGATAGTGGCTGGGGGAATACCTGAGGAGTGTGAAACCATTTGCTAATCATGGTTCCAACAAGGCGAAATCAAAGCCAAATCTCCCCTGACTTCCACTGTGCAACTTCACTTACGGGAATCTTTTATTTTGGTGCATTTCAATTTCTCTACCTAATAAATATTAGAGACAAACTTTGTGATTCTGATAAGTACTTTTCTCCCATCCTAGAAGATTGTTCCTGGATTGTGTTTCTTCCTAAGGTATAATATAATGAAAAAAATTAGAGCAAAACTCCATTCATTTGTACTCTAGCAAATCAGGATTTACAAAATTAGTCACAGGTTGTGCTGAAATTTCTGTCATGGAGAATGCAGATTTTTAAAAAACAATGATGTCATTGAAAAAAATAAATGGTGGCATTCAACTCTTCTAAGGGAATTAGGTATCTGTGAGCAATTTATCATCTGTTTTCTACTTACTGCTTCAGTCTGAATTCAGAAAACAGGAAATGCTGACTGTATTCAGGAAAGAACCCCTTGTGTACACTACATTAAATAATAATTGAGTTAATTCTTAAGAGGATAATATACAGTGTAAGATAAGATTTTATAGAATGTTGAAAGTGAGGGGTTAAAAAAGATGTTTTGGTAGGAGGGCTTCATCAGTGACTGCAAACACCAACAGGAAGTGGAGGAGATTTAGGATCTAGAAATTATTGGAATTGACATGTAAGAGGTTTTTTGGTGACATCAAGAGGCTGGTTCTGGTAGTGTGGCAGGAATGGAAGCAAAATTTCAGGTATTTAAAAAATGACTAAGTGCTAAGGAAATGAAAGCTTCTAGAGACCATTCCAAATTCTGGGCAGGGAAATGAAGCAGAAAAAGGCCAGTTGGGGGCCAGCATTGTGGCATACATAGCCTGCAACACTGGCATCCCATCTGGACACTGGTTCGCATCTCAGCTGCTTCATTTCTGGTCCAGCTCCCAGGTAATATGACTGGGAAAGCAGCAGAGGATGGCCTAAGTGCTTGGGCCCCTGCACCCATATGGGAGACAACCAATAAGCTATTGGCTCCTGGCTTTGGTCTGGCCCAGCTCTGGCCATTGCAGTCATTTGGGGACTGAACCAGCAGAAGGAAGATAGGAAGATCTCTCTCTCTCTCTCTCTCTCTCTCTCTCTCTCTTTATCTCTGTCTTTCAAATAAATAAGTATCTAAAAAAAGTAATAAATAAAAGATCCAGTTACAATGGAGCAAGGGCAATAAAGTGCAAGAGAAGATTTCTGCCAGAAAGGGATGGGAAGGAAAGGGATTAAAAGGCTGAGAAGGGTGGATAATTGGCCCAGATGTTAAGATGCCAGTTATGACACCCACATCTCATGTTGGAGTAGCTGGACTCAGTACCCAGCTGCAACTCCTGAATCCAACTGCCTGCTAATCAGGGCCCTGGGAGGCAGCAGTGGTAGCTCAAGTATTTGGCCTCCTGCCACCCATGTGGGAGACCTGAGTTCCCAGCTCCTATTGCAGGCATCTGGGAGTGAATCAGTGGATGGGAGCTCTCTCTCCATAGCTCTCTCTTTGTGTGTGTGTGTGTGTGTGTATGTGTAGGTATGCCCCCCCCCCAAAAAAAAGACTGGGTAGAAAATGAAAAGTTAATAAACTTTACACAATTAAAAAAAAATTCCACTCTCTGTAAGTCACTCCTCTAAGAAAGTGAGAAGATAGGCCACACACTGGGAAAAAACATTTGCAAAACATATATCTGATAAGTACTTGTAACTTGAATATATATTAGACTCTGTAGACTCAACCTAGGAAAGAAAAAAAATGGGCAAAAGATTTAAGCAGACACTTTACAAAATATATACAGATGGCAAATAAGTACATGAAAAGATGCTCAGCATCGTTAGTCATTAGGAAAATGCAAATTAAAATGACAATGAGATACTATACAAGCCTATTAGGAGGGCTCAAATGAAAGGAAACTGTCAAGTGCTTTTGAGGATGCAGAACGACAGAACGTGGCTGTGGGAATGCAAGATTGGTACAGCCACTTTGGGGGAGAGTTTGGCAGTTTTCTATAAAGTTAAACATGCCCTTACTCTATGACACAAACATTGTACTCCCAAGAATTTACCCATAAGAAGGGAAAACTTGTAGCCTGGGGAAAACCTCTGTGGAACATTTGTAGCAACTTTGTGCACATTTCCCTCAAAGTGGAAGCATGCCAAGTCCTCACCAGCTGGAGAAACTAATTGTGGCACACCTATACAATGGGATACTGTTTAGCAAAAAGAAGGAACATGCTGCTGATACATGTAACGACTTTAAGGGCTCTCAAAAGCATATGCCCTAAGCAGGAAGCCAAAGCACTACATGTCATGATTCCATTTCCATGACATGTTGGAGAAGGGAAACCTACAGGGACAGAAATACAACAGCAGCCAGGGACTAGGGGTGAGGGAGACTGACTACAGAGAGGTGTAGGGGGCTGTTTAAAAAGAAACCAAAAACTGGTTTGAGGATTTGGTCTCTCTTTCTACCAGCCCCTCTGATCGTACTGTTTGGAAGTTCTCTTCTTACTTAAATAAAACTTCACCTCTATCCTCAAAAATGAAAAAACAAAATTGAGGGGAGGGGAGTGGAAGGAAGAGCGAGTGAGTGAGTGTTCTGGTCCACTCTACAAATGTCTAAAACTGCCAGGATTGGGCCAGGCCAAAGTTGGCAACTGGGGACTCAGTCTAGGTTTCCCACATGGGTGACAGAAACCCAATTACTTGAGCCATCACTGTTGGCCTGCCAGGTTGAGCATTAGCAGGAAGCTGGAATCAAGAGCAAGAGACAGGTATCAAATGCAGGCGTTCTGATAGGAGACACAGTATCCTAACAAGCATCTTAACAGGCCAAATGTCTGCACTCAATGGGACTATTAGGGTGATGAATATACATCTTGATTATCATAGTAGTTGTGAGAAGAGAACCCAAGTCAGGATGCTTGAGTATGCATGCTTTTTTCTTGCTTAAAGCTTTTGCATACATGTTCCCTCTACCTAAGGAGTCTGTCTCCTCTCCTTTTGTTCCTGGATAACTCTTCTCTTTGTGTTTCATTACTTATGCCCAGAAAGCTTTCCCTAAGTCAATAGACTGGGTTAACTTTTCCTACTATGTGTTCCCATAGCTATTTATTCTTCCTCGGGTGGGATATTGCAACTGTGCACTTAGCTGCCTTTTTCTTTTTTAAGAAATATTTATTTATTTATTTATTTGAGAGGCAGAGTTACAGACAGATAGAGGCCTTCCATTTGCTGGTTCAGTCCCCAGGTGGCTGCAATGGCCAGAGCTGTGTGGATCTGAAGCCAGGAGCCAGGAGCTCCTTCTGGGTCACCCACCTAGTTGCAGGGGCCCAAGGAGTTGGGCCATCTTCCACTGCTTTCCCAGGCCATTAGCAGGGAGCCAGGACTTGAACTGCTACCCATAGGGAATGTTGGCACTGCAGGAGGGGGCTTAATCTACTACACCACAGCACCAGTCCTTAGCTATCTTTTTTCTCCTTTTATACTCTAAGTTCTATGAGGGCTAGGATTGCCTCTGTCTTAGTACTAACTATTGTACTCCTTGCATTTAGTAGAGAATCAGGAATAATATTTGTTAATGGGAAAAAGCAAAAGGTTTGGAATAATTCATTGAGAAATGAGTTAAATTGATAAGGGATAAAGAAATATATTATTCTCAGAAGAACATTTCCAATCCTGACTCTAACCCATGTTCCATCACCATAATATGGACTGTCTATAAAATATTTTCACATGGATATCTTGTTACTTTAGCCATAATATTTCTTTATTTCTTTTTAAATATTTATTTATTTATTTGAAAGTCAGAGTTACACAGAGAGAGGAGAAGCAGAGAGAGAGAAAGGTCTTCCATCCATTGATGCACTCCCTAAATGGCCACAACAGCTGGACATGGATCCATCTGAAGCCAGGAGCCAGGAGCTTCTTCCAGGTCTCCCATGTGGGTGCAGGGGCCAGGACTTGGGCCATCTTCTACTGCTTTCCCAGGCCATATCAGAGAGCTAGATGGGAAGTGGAGCAGCTGAGACTCAAATCAGGGCATTAACCCACTGAGCCACAGCGCCTGCCCCCATAATATTTCTTTTTAAAAATATTCATTTATTTACTTGAATGGCAAAGTGACAGAAGGAGGGATGGGGGGAGGAAGAGAGAGAGAGAGAGAGAGAGAGAGAGAGAGAGAGAGAGAGATTCCATTTGCTGGTTCACTCCTCAAATGTCTGCAATGGGAGCCTGGAACTCAATTCAGTTCTCCCACCTGGGTAGCAGGAACCCAGGATCTGCATTGACAGGAATACTTAGTCCAGAGTCAAAGATGGAAATCAAACTCAAAGACTTCAGCATGGGATATGGGAATCTTACACTTGATCTTAGCCAAAAGGCTGAGAAGCAATGAGATATGGGAGTCATGACTGCAGGGCTAAGCAGCCATTCCTGACTGCTCTAAGATGAAACTACAAAAGCATTTTAATCAAGGGAGTAACATAATGGAAGAAGTAATGGTGAGCAGAAAAACTGCTAAACGTGAGACATCTCAATGAATATCAGTTGTAAACAGCAGCAATAATGATATTAACATCTAAACTGAGAAGATGTTAACACTAAACCACACTAGGTTAGGGTCCCGAGCAAAATGACAGGACTGGAGATCACATTTTTTAAGCATTTCGATCATTCAGGAAGAGAATAAATTGGTTCACCTTAGATTTTAATGCACACATTGAAAATGTGAGGATAATTACCAAAAGGATAGAAAATAATGTAAAGGCCCACACTTCATAAATACCTCAGTAATGCTTTTGTCTTAGTCCATTTTCTGCTGCTGACACAGAATACCTGAGACTGGGTAACAACAAACAGAAATGTTTGGCTTATTGTTCTTCAGGCTGAGAGGTCTGGGCTGAAGAGTCTGGCTTTTGGCAAAGGCGTCCTGCTGCATCATTGCATGGCAGAAGGCAGAAGGGCAAGAAAAGGCAAAAATGAGAGGCAAGAGAAGATGTAAGTCACTCTTACAACTCTGAAAATAAATGTACTCCTGCAACAACAAGGTTAATCTGTCAACCTAATTACCTCTTCAGAGCCCCCACTTCAGTACTGATGTGTTGAGGATTTTTAAAAAAGATTTATTTTATTTTAAAGGCAGAATGACGCAGACAGAAGGAGAGATCGTCCATCTGCTGCTTCACTCCCCAAATGACAACAACAACTGGAACTAAACCAAGCTGAAACTGGGAGCCAGGAAATCCATCTAGGTCCCCCATGTGAGTGGCAGGATCCCAAGTACTTGGGCCATCTTCTGCTGCCTTCCCAAGCACATTAGCATGGAACTGAATCAGAAGTTAGGACTTGAACCCATGCTCTGATATGGGATGCCGGTGCCACAGGCAGGGTTCACTCTACTTTGCCTCAACACCAGCTCCATATTGAGGACTATTAAATTTCCAACACATAAGCTTTGAGGAACACCACTGGACCAAAGCAACTCTAAACCTTTATAAATAACCCTGTAAAAATAAAGAATGAGGAATATATAAAATTAGATCAATAAGAATAAAAATCATGCAAGGAGAAAAGGGGGGAAAGCATTATAAATAAACACACCAGAGAGTTATAGAACTGAGTCCACATATATCAATAACTTCAACATATAAATAGATTAAACTTGTCAATTTAAGTCAGATTGCTCAGATTAGAAATAAATTTTAGTTGGCCGGCGCCGCGGCTCACTAGGCTAATCCTCCACCTTGCGGCGCCAGCACAGCGGGTTCTAGTCCCGGTCGGGGCGTTGGATTCTGTCCCGGTTGCCTCTCTTCCAGGCCAGCTCTCTGCTGTGGCCAGGGAGTGCAGTGGAGGATGGCCCAAGTGCTTGGGCCCTGCACCCCATGGGAGACCAGGATAAGTACCTGGCTCCTGCCATCGGATCAGTGCGATGTGCTGGCTGCAGCGCGCCGGCCACGGCGGCCATTGGAGGGTGAACCAACAGCAAAGGAAGACCTTTCTCTGTCTCTCTCTCTCACTGTCCACTCTGCCTGTCAAAAAAAATAATAATAAATAAATTTAGTTATACAAGAGGTCTTCTGAAAAATGCACATTATGAAAGACTTATGCCGGCGCCGTGGCTCAGTAGGCTAATCCTCCACCTTGCGGTGCCAGCACACCGGGTTCTAGTCCCGGTCATGGTGCCAGATTCTGTCCCGGTTGCCCCTCTTCCAGGCCAGCTCTCTGCTATGGCCTGGGAGTGCAGTGGAGGATGGCCCAAGTCCTTGGGCCCTGCACCCGCATGGGAGACCAGGAGAAGCACTTGGGTCCTGCCTTCGGATCAGTGTGATGCACCAGCTGCAGCGTGCTGGCCGTGGCGGCCATTGGAGGGTGAACCAACGGCAAAGGAAGACCTTTCTCTCTGTCTCTCTCTCTCACTGTCCATTCTGCCTGTAAAAAAAAAAAAAAAAAAAAAAAAAAAAAAAAAAAAAAAAAAAAGACTTATGCACAGATTTCCAAGTTTCCTTTGGCAGCAAAATAAACTTATCTTTTAAAAGTGTTTGTATTTTAATCTACTTGAAAGGCAGAGTGACAGAGAGACAGGGAGGGAGAGTTATAGAGAGACAGAGACAGAGAGAGGGAGAGAAAGAGAGAGAATCTTTCAGTCTTTCATCTTCCCCAAATGTCTGCAATAGTCAGGGCTGAGTCAGGCTGAAGCCAGGGTCCAGGAACTTCATCCAGGCCTCACATGTGGGTGGCAGGGACCCAAGCACTTAAGCTGTCTTCTGCTGCTTCCCAAGATTTATTAACAGGAAGCTGGGTTGGAAGCAGAGTACCTGGGACTTGAACGAACACTCTGATATGGAATGGGGGTGTCCCAACCAGCAGTTTTATCTGCTGTGCTGTAACCTATGCCCCCCATAAACTTATCTTCTAATTCCATTTCCATGAACTTTTTGAATACTTTTGTATACTAGCAAATAGACATAGCTAAGACACAAAGGCATAAACAGGTTGAAAATAAATCAATGGAAAAAATATGGTGGGCAGATATCCAAAAGAATGCTAGTGTGCCCATAGTAATGCCAGACAAAACAGACCTTAAGGTGGAAAGCAATGTTAGGAATAACTATTTTTAAAAATAAATAATACAGGAATAATTAAAGAGATATTAGAATTCTGAATTTATTTGTTATGCCTTACAATACTTCTTTAATATGTATAAAGCAATAATGTCACTGACAGAAAAGCAATAAATTAAATGAACAATTACAAGGGAAGATTTTCTTTATTGTATTTCCTAAAGACACAGGAGAATCTGACAAAATGTTAATAAAGATATAGAAGATATGAAAAACACATTTAATAAGCTTGATTTAGTAGATGTAGCCAGCAGCCTTCACCTAACAGGGAGTATATGCTCTTCTTAGGTGCACATGGAGAACTTATACAATTTGGTCACAAAGCCAGTCTCAAGAAATACCAGAAGAAGCAATATAATACAGCCCACATTTTTTTTTTGCCATAATATAATAAAACTATAAATCAATAACATCCACAACCCACAATAGAGTGACTTTTAGTAGCTGGCTTAGGCAACTGAGTGGATGGTGTTGATGTCATTCCCTGAGATGGAAAGGCATGGAGGAGGGAAGGTCTTCAAGGCACGTGGAAATAGGGTCAGAGGGAAAATGAATCAGTCTGGCCAACCAACTCCTAGTGAGATATTGGGATGGATATGCCTCGACTGAACCACCAGCCACAAATTTAATTTGTCTTTCCAAGTAGCTCTCTATTTCTGGACTTTGTAAATTTGGGTTTGAAAATCACGATTTAAATTGATGTTGCCAATTAATTGGCCATGCCGCCACCTAGTGGTATATTTTGGAATAGCAGGAGATGTGTCTAAGTTTTTTTTTTTTCTTTAAATAATTTCTTTCTTTATTTAAAAGTCAGAGTTACAGAGGGAGAAGGAGAGACAGAGACAGAGAGAGAGAAAGAGAGAGACATCTTTCATCACTGGTTCACTCCCCATATGGCCACAACATCTAGAGCTGGGCTGGCTAGAAGTCAGGATCAGGAGCTTCTTCCAGGTCTTCCATGGGGTTCAGGGGCCCAAGCACTTGGACCATCTTCCACTGATTTCCCAGGAACATTAGCAGGAAGCTGTATCAGAAGTGGGGAAGCTGGGACTCAAACCAGTGCCCATATGGAATGCCAATATTGCAGGCGGTGGCTTTACAGGCTATGCCATGCCAGCTCCTGAGATGAATTCTTGTTTGTGATTTTTAAAAATTTTATTTAATTTTTAAAGATTTTATTTAATGAATGCAAATTTCATAGGTATAACTTTAGGAATATAGTGGTTCTTCCTCCCATACCTACCCTCCCACCCCCACTCCTGTCCCACCTCCTATTCCCTCTCCCATCCCATTCTTCATTAAGGTTCATTTTTAATTAACTTTATATACAGAAGACCAACTCTACACTAAGTAAAGATTTCAACAGTTTTCATACCCCCCCCCACAACGTATAAAGTACCATTTGAGAACAAGTTTTGCAGTTAATTCTCGTATTACAATTCATTAAGGACAGAGGTCCTACATGGGGAGTAAGTGCACAGTGACTTTGGTTGTTCATTTAACAATTAACACTCTCTTATTTATGACATCGGTGATCACCTGAGGTTCTTGCCATGAGATTCCTAGGCTTTGTAAGCCTTTTGTGACCACAAACAATCCATCAGTATTTAGACGGGGTCATAAGCAAAGTGGAAGTTCTCTCCTCCCTTCAGAGAAAAGTACATCCTTCTTTGATGGCCCATTCTTTCCACTGGGGTGTCACTCCCAGGGATCCTTCACGTAGGATATTTTTTTGCCAGTGTCTTGGCTTTCCATGCCTGAAATGTTCTCATGGGCTTTTCAGCCACATCTGAATGCCTTAAGGGCTGATTCTGAGGTCAGAGTGTTACTTAAAGTGATTGTCATTCTATGAGTCTGCTGTGTGGACTGCTTCCCATGCTGGACATCCCCTCCCTTGTCATTCTATCTATTATTATTACCAGGCACTTGATGCTATTTATATGACCTCTTCAACACTTAATCCTATCTATATGTTCACTTTAACACTTAATATGATCACTTTAACAATTATGATGGGGCTGGCACTGTGGTGTAGCAGGTAAGGCTGCTGCCTGCAGTGCTGGCATCCCATATGGGTGCAAGTTCAAGACCCGGTTGCTCCATTTCTAATCCAGCTCTCTGCTATGGCCTGGGAAAGCAGTAGAAGATAGTCCAAGTCCTTGGGCCCCTGCACCCACTTGGGAGACCTGGAAGAAGCTCCTGGTTTCTGACTTTGGATCAGCATAGCTCTCGCCATTGCAGCCAGTTGGAGAGTAAACTGGTGGATGGAAGACCTCTCTCTCCCTCTCTCTCTGCCTCTCCTCTCTCTGTGTGTAACTCTGACTTTCAAATAAATAAATAAATAAATCTTTTTTAAAAAATTAAGATGGCATTTTTACCACCAATTTTAATGGGATTGGAGTCCCATGATGAGTTTTAAAACTGTACCCTTAGAATTAAGTCCATAGGACTGTATGCAGAACTATACAGCTTTAAAGTTACAAACTTCCCCCTCCTCTTATTCCTCCTCTTATTTTTTACTGAGAACTATTTTCTTTTCTTAAAAGATTTTATTTATTTCTTTGAAAGGTAGAGTTACAGACAGTGAGAGGGAGAGACAGAGAGAAAGGTCTTTCTTCCATTGGTTCACTCCCCAAATGGCTGCAAACAGTTGGAGCTACCCAGATCCAAAGCCAGGTCCCAGGACCCAGGAGCTTCTTCCTGGTCTCCCATGTAGGTGCAGGGGCCCAAGAACTTGGGCCATCTTGTACTGTTTTCCCAGGTGACAACATAGAGCTGGATTGGAAGAGGAGCAGCTGGGACTAGAACTGTCGCCCATATGGGATGCTGGCACTGCAGGCGGAGGATTAACCTCCTATGCCATGGTGATGGCCCTGA